AAAGTAGTCTAAGGTCAGAAATCCAGTGCAGGGCTGGGATCTGGATGTAATGACTTTAAATGGCTATGGAGCAGCCCGTGTATTGGTAGGTATTGAGTCTAGCTAGATTTTTCCAAAGACAAACAGTTCTACTACCTCAAAAGAAAATGATCTATCAACATTCACCTTCTTGAGATCCAATTTTCCTTTTCTACTTGATCACCAATTTTCATGTAACCAGGGCACTCATATAAATAACTACCCAAGATGGTTGCTCATTTCTCACAGCAACGTGTAGAGATGATGTTCCTTTGTCGTTCGTTCATTCATTCATTCATTCATTCATTCATTCATTAACAGCCTGGTGAAGAACTGCTATAGTGTTAACTCTAACGGGCAGAAGAGTCCTCGAGTGACCCTTCCTGTGGCTTAACACTTGGAGACTGTCACTCAATAGGCTCCTCACATCTGCACAGGGGATGATTAAAGAATATTCTAAATTAATTGGTAATTTGAGGTGTAAGTATGTGGAAACATCTTAACAATTCCAATTTTTATGCCTTTTGGGGATTTGGTTGTGTGTGTGTGTGTGTGTGTGTGTGTGTGTGTGTGTGTGCGCTTACAAAAGTCATATATGCTCATTGTAAAATATTCCAATACTGCAGAGAGTGAGAATCTTTTTTTTTTTAAAGATTTTAATTGGGGAATTGGGGAATGGGAACAGCGCTGGGGAATTGGGGGAAGGGGAACAGACAAGTTGCTGTCGTTTTGTTCTTCAGTCTAGCTGTGGAGGACGTTGCTTCACTGGCCCAAGTTGGTACCATCATTGCGCTCTTCCCGGGCGAGGCAGATCAGTCGCCGGCTTCTGGACGGCCGCTCACTCCGGCTGCTGGCCGCTCACGCTGGCTGCTGGCTACACACGGTAGTCCATGGCAACCCACTGCAACAGGGGCTGCAGCCTACGCCATCGCCGGTGACTCACAGCAGCCCAGCTCCAGGTTGAGCTGTTGTTCAGCATCTTAGCTGTAGAGGGCAGTGTTCACTGGCCCTCATATGTGGGATCCGAACCGGGGCCCTCTGGCGTCCCAAGCCAGCTCTTAACCAACACGCCACTCAGCCAGCCCAAGAGTGAGAATCTTTAATAAGGAGGAATCATCCTCTGACCCCACATGGGAGAAACCCACTGCTAATCCTTTCATTCTATGTATAGGACAACATTGTCTATACTATATTTTTATACATGATGTTAATGTAAAATTGCACGACTCTTGTTCTGGATCTTGACTTTTTTCTAAGCATAATTAAGTGTATTTGAAATGATTTAAAATAAATTATGAGTCATACCTCAGCCTTTCCTAACCAGTGAAATAAAATGTGATGTGTCAAATTGAGTTAAATCCATAATCTCTGTGGATGTGCTTTTGACTTGCAGGCAGGCAAAAGTGAGGCAGCTTCACACACCATATTGACACTCAACAACGAGAAGGTCAGAGCAGGGAGTTGATGTCAATATGTTCATCTCGTACTGCAATAAAGCTGTCCCAGAAACTGCAGTCCCAGCTGACACTTCCTCTCTTTTGGGTGAGAAATGCACCATTCAGACTCTCAACTCCTTTGCTATGAAAATACCATCCTTTAATACAGGCTTAATTGTTTTTCAATAATATTGATATACTCTAGATTGCAGGCTTCAAAGACAAACTTAAAATTACCACACCAGCTAGGGCTTTATTTGAGAAAAAGACTAAGAGATGACAGCTGAGATTTCTAATTCTGCCACATGAAAATTACCAAATAATTGCACGACAGGTGTCATTGTTCTGAGAATCATGAAGTGCGTGCAGCTCTCCATTCTGTTTCCAATATTTTATTGGGGGTGCTTTACTTGGGGATATCATGAGCAGTTTTAAATGTTGGAAAAATGTTATACCCTTCACTTTCATTTTTGCCAAAGGGAGAGTAGACATACGCCACAATATAAAAGGGAACCCTGTGGTATAGCCTGACACTATTATAGTCCGTTTTCCATCAGGGAAATTAAAATGGGCAAAATCCACGGGCACAAATGTGTTTCCCCAGGTTAGAAAGGTTCTTCAGTTTCCAGATTTGGTAGCAAAGAAACATAAAGAGGGGAAAAGCAGGGCTTCTGGAGGCCTGTATCCTAGAGATGCCTGCCGCTTGGTAAATCAGCTCCGAACAAATGCTCATCACTCATATTTATGCTCCCAACTGGTGACACCAAAGCCAGGTGATATATGAGCTCTTCTGAAGACAGGGAAGGATTGAAGGAGTCAGAAAGGGGAGCCCACAGTGACCTCAACTACTTACAGGGCTTACAATTTTTAACTCTGCCAGACCCACCAACCATCAATTTTTTAAAGTCAATTCTGAGAAATTAAAAAAAAATTAAGAACTATTTCACAAGGAAGCAGTTCCTACCTACATTCAGTACAACCCAATTTAAAATTTATATTGGCCTTCCATCCTTTCCCGAGTGCTTTCCCAGAGAGACCTGCCAGAGGCCATTAGCACACAGCTCTCACAAATGGAGAAGCAGCAGCTTTGGCTTTCACGGAACCAGACTGGCATTTTCACTCAGATCACATGGCAACTGACAAGCTTCTCTGCACTGTGAATTGTGATCACTTTCCCTCAGATGAAGATCTAGGGAACAGCCTGAAGGGATCATGATAGAAAGGAAGATCATCCTTGGATGTTGGGTGGGATATGCAAATAAGAATGAGAATAGGATGCTTTAGTGCTGTCAGGGGGTGCTGCGTTTTATTTGGGAAATGAGACAAAATCTTCCTCTGATGAGCCACTCCATGTGACATCCCAACCCACACTCTGCTACTGACATTTTATCTCCCACTGAACAGCCCGACTGTTGTAACATTTTCAGGATTCTTAATTTATGTCTTGCAGGATCTAAAATCAGATGGAAGGAAGTTTAAGAAAATAACCAGTGTTGACAGGCACCTTTATACTTCAAGAAGCTGGTTCACCTTAGTGCTGCTAAAAGTTAGGTAACATCTCTACTTTCTTCTTCCAAAATACTGTCTGGAAGACAATAGGCTGGAGAGAGGGAGCTGTCCTAAGTCATTTAATTTCTCTTTTTAATTTAAACTGTAATGAAAGATCTTTCCTTCCACCCAATAATTGCCAGCAAGTTCATTCCCCTTTCTTGGCATGAGTTATTCTGTCACTTAATTAAGTTAAATAATTTAAATGAGAGTAACCAAGAAAAGTTAACTAAGGTTCTTACATATAGCCAAAACTATGAAAAAGTAAAACGACTCACAGGTAAGATCAGCAATGTAACATTTGTGCAAAGCTTTATAACCTACTGAATTGTTGACTCTCAGAACACTAATGAGGGACGAAATTATGATGATGATAATTCTTACTTTACAGCAGAGGCAAGTGAGGCTCAGAAAATGGAAATGACTAGTTGTGAATCACTCAGCCTTGAAGAAATGGCGATCAAACCCATATCTCATGTTCTTTCCATTATAGCACAATCCTGCTTTGTAAAAGCAATGACTTGGGATTGGCTGATCATATGAAGAAGCTGAAACCTTTGCTCTTCAGAGCACTGGTAGTGCTGAGCAAGTACATGAGGGGCTCCTGGGCTTACACCTGCCAAAGCCTGGGTGCTGGTATACTCCCTAGCTCTGGTGTACTCAGCCTCCATCCTCCTCTTCTCAGAGTGGATTTATATCTATTATATTTATCTACAATGTAGTGCTTAGGAGTACAGACTCTTGTGGCAGATGACTAACTGCCACTAACTAATAGCTGACCTGGGCAAGATACTTAAGTTTTATGGGCCTCATTTTCCTGGACTGTAAGATGGAGATGATAATAGTGCCTACATCATAGGACTGTTGTAAAGATTAAATGAGTTTATTTATGGAAAATGTTACATATGGGTATCACCCATCAGTTTGTCACATGCTTTCATAAATGCACTATACATGAACGTATACTATGCTTGTGAAAACCTCTGGTTAGATGATAAAGCTCAGAAAAGCCTTGCTCCAGCCCTGTAGGTAGGAAGCTAGTATACTCCTTTGAATAGCACCTTGCACATAGTGGAGGCTCAAAACACATCTTTAAATTGAACTGAAGTGAATACTACCGGAACTAAAAGGTGTAGTTTCAAATCTTTCAGGCTTAAGGTTCAGATTTTTCAAGTGTTTCTAGTTAACTGCCCTCAACTCCCCACTTCATTAATCTCAAAGGGCAGGGGCCAGGAAAGGATGAGTAACCAATAAGCATAAAACTCAGGTAAGAGTAAAAACTAGTTCTGAGAAACTGCAAAATTTATGTCCTGGACCTGAAGTTTAGATCACTACGTATTTCTTCTACACAAAGCCTAGGAGGCTATGTTTATATTATTGTGGTGAAACCCCTAACAGCTCTGGTACCAGACAGCTCTCAGCAGGTGCGTCCATATTTTCTTATTTGCTCCCAACTGCCAGGTTGCCAGAGGAGCGCGGCCGATGAGTCGATACTCCTAGGCTGACTAAGAGTCGGTGGGTAGGGGAGGAAAGAAATGAGACTATGAGCAAGTTAAGTTTTGTAAAAGAGGTGAAGCCTTCAGCCCAACGGATCAGGTAGTGGCACCGCATTATTGGCTCTCCGCACCAGGGTAGTCACTGCATTTCTCCAGCCCCAGCTCCGCTCCGCCCCCCAG